AATTGGGGTATAGCTGGACAAGGTACTGTATATGAATATGATGGAATAATATTGTGTTATAAGAAATGAAGGGGATAGTTTCAGAAAAACCTGGGAAGATTTATATGAACTGATGCAAAATGAAGTAAGCAGAACCAGGAAAACAACCTACACGGTGAGAGGAATACTGTAACAATCATTTGTGAAAGACTTAGTAACTCTGACCAATACAATGATCTACCACCATTCCAAAGGATTCATGACATAAAATTTCTACCTAGAGACAGAGAACTGATAGTCTCAGAGTGCAGACTGAAACTTATTTGTTTTCCTTTTTAAAAATTTCCTTATTTTTTTGAACATGGCTAATATGGAAATACATTTTGCATGACTTCATATGTATAATGGTTATCACATTTCTTACCTTCTCAATAGTAGGATAGGGACTAGAAGGAGGGAGAGAATTTGGAACTGAAAATAAAAATTAAATTAAAAAAATAAAAGATGGTTTCAGAACAGGAAATCGATGTCATATGAATAAGTAAGAAAATGTTTTAAAATGATGCTGTCATCAGACATAAAATACAGCATCTCTTTGTACTGAAACACTAAAAATGCAGAAATAATAAATTTATAGGTTTTTTCTTTTCCTTAAAAAAAAAAACAAAACCCAGTACATTTGAATCTATGAGCTAATATAACTGCAAAACATGAAAGGCATTCCTAGGAAAAAGAGGTATAAAACAGGACCATCCACTCTTGTTATTTCTATTGGGCAAATTCTTAGAAATGTTATCTAAAGCAACGAAACATGAAAAAGAAAGGAATAAGCATTGACGATGAAATTAAAAATATTGGCAGCTAGGCAGGCAGAGTGGATAGAGTACTGGCCCTAGAGTCAGGAGGACCCAAGTTCTAATCTGGCCTTCAACACTTATTAGCTGTGTGACCTTGTGCAAGTCACTTAACCCTGTTTACTCTAGTTCTTCATCTGCGAAATGAGCTAGAGAGTGAAATGGCAAACCACTCCAGTATCATTCCCAAGAAAACATCCAAAGGGGTAACAGATAGTAGGACATGACTGAAACAACTCAACAAAAATCTATAGATGACGTGACTATAAATTCAGGAAACCCACAATACTAAATAGAAACATTGTCCCAATAAACAACTATAAAGAAGTAGGAAAAGACAATTATGCAAAAATTATCTGGATTCCTATGTACCATTAGGACTAGGAGGAGGATCTCTAGGATGTAGAGATTTTAATACTAGGATAGGGTTAAGATTTTAAACCCCAAGGGAAGCATATGAACTAAGGCAATAACAGATAAGCAATTGAGAACTGCCTGTTTTCAGAGGCTTAATCTTCACTCTTCGATTGGCTGAAAAGTTCACTTTTACAATATACTGAATTAAGAACACATGAAAAAGATGTTCAAATTTCCCAGTAATCTCTGGAAAAAAAAATGCAAATCGAGATAGCCGTAGGATAGTAACATGAATCCACAAAACTGGAAAAAAGCAGCAAAAAAAGGTATAAAATTCACTGTTGGTGGGGGGTGGAGTTTGTGGGAACACAGGCAATCCACATTGTTGGTAGCACTAGGACAAACGTCTTAGAGAATAACGTGGCAAACAGGAGTCACAAAACTGACTAAATCTTCTAATTAACACGGCACATCCATCTGGATTTGGTGAGAGGAACTTAATTCAAATCTTGGCTCATAGTTTACTACTTGTGTGACTGTGGTCAGGTCACTTAAGCTTTGAGCTTTAGTTTCCTCATTTGTAAAATAAAAAGGTTGTACCAAATGACCTTTGAGTTCCCTTTAGTTTCCATACTATGAACCTCCTCAACCAGATTTTATCCTAAAGTGATTAATGTGAAGAGGTCTTCTATCTGTACAAAAAGATTCGCAGTTTTATTAAGGGGAAGAAACAACCTCTATATCCAGTGATTAAAAAATGGTTGAGGTAGCAGTACCAGAGGGCCTGGGTTCAAATCCTTCTAGTACTTAGTTTCTTCATTTGTAAAATTAAAGGCTTGAACTAGATGGCCTGTGAGGTCCCTTCCAGTTCCATGGTATATTGATGAAATGGGATCTTTTGATGTATTAAAAATAAGACACATGTGAAAACTACAAGGTAATATATTTTTATGAAATGAAATCAGCAGAAAAAGAGAAGTCATATATATTTACAACTATTAAAAAAACAGAGCTTTATAAGAAACTGGTTAGATTATTTGCCTATTAGTATTAATGAATATTAATTTTAATAAATTTCTATTAATAAATTTAATTATTAAAACTTTAATTTAAAAAAAATTATATTCAAGTATATACATCAACAAACATTGATTAGGCATCTACTATGAGCCAGGTATTGTGGATACAAAGTAAAAATTGAAACCATCCCTGCTTTCAAGGAGCTAACATTATAAAGAGAGTATTGACCATAGAAAGTCGTGGTTGGGAAACTGGAAAGCAGTTGAGCCGAAACTAGAAAGCAGTTGAGCCGAAACTAGATCGACAATTATTTTTCATTATATAGTATAATAAACCTAAAATAGATATGTGGCCTGAATTTAAAAGGTCACACTACAAACAAAAAAAATTCAGAAAAGAACAAAATTAGGTGCCTTCCATAACTTTGGGTAAGGAAAAAATCCTTCATTAAACAACAGATGTGCGGTCACACAAGATAAAATTGGTAATTTCAATGACATGAAGCCGAAAAGCTTTTGCACAAACAAAATTAAGGTAGCTAAGTAAGGAAACCATTAGGGGGAAACAATTTTTGTATCAAATATATTTAAGATAAAGAACCATTCCCCAGTGGATAAGTGGTCAAAGGCCACAAAGAACAGACCTCAAAAGAGTTGCAAATCATTAACGACCTTAAGAAAAATTGTTCCAAATCAACAAGACAAGCAATTCAAAATAACCGTGAGATTTCACTCAGCAAATTGACAAAAACGAGAAAAGGTAGAGAAACTGTGGGAGGACAAGGCACATTTGATCTTTGTCAAAAGTTTGAGAAGAGTTAATGCATGCTTGGTGCAGCTGTGGATTTACCCAAATATTCTGGAAAGTAATTGGAATTATGCTTTTTTTAAAAAGAGTGACTAAAATATCTCTTTTCTGATCCATAGACTCCACTGACAGACATTTACTGCATGGAAGTAAAAACCTGGAAACAAAGTGTCCATTGATTTAATAGCTAAATACATTGTGTACCTGAATAGAAGGGGCAGTTAGGTTGGTGTAGCAGATAGAGGGCTGATTTGGGATTAAGGAAGACCTGGTTCAAATTCTACATAGGACATTTAATAGTTGTGTGACCCTTGGCAAGTCACTAAACTTTCTCAGCCTCAGTTTCCCCATCACTATAATGGGAATAATAGCACCTACCTCAAGGATCAGTTCAGATAACATTCATAAAGCACTTTGCAAACCTTCAAGTGCTACCTAAACGCAAATTATAAGAATGTTACTGCAATAATGTCAAATATGAACTGACATGGAATAAAAGAACCTGAATGCTTTGTAAGTTGATCTTGGAGGAGAGTTGAAAAGATGCACCTCCCTTTCTTTGCTACAGAGGTGGGGGACTATGGGTGTGGAACATTGTCTCTACTGATACAGCTAATGTGTTGGTTGGTTTTGCTGAACTGCATCTATGCTCCCTGCTCTGATTTCTTTTAAAATCTTTGTTAAAAACTCACGAAGGAGAGGAAAGAAGAGGGGCATGTCAGAAAATAAATGAGGTAAAAACAAGGGATTGATAAAAATAAACTAAAAAGAAATAAAGTAAGCCAGAGAGTCAGGATGGAGGGTAGAGGGATTAAAGATGCAGCAATCTACTTCCTTCTTAATATTTACTGAAGGCTGGCAGAGTCAGGGGATCAGAGATTTAGACCTGGAAGGGGTATTACCATTTATCTAATCCAAGTCCATCATTTTACATGCTGGTAAACTAACGTTGGTAGAGTAGAAGTGATTTGTTCAAGGTGCCCCAAGTGGAAAAGAGCAGAGCTGTGATTTCAGTCTGACCACATGTTCAGTATTCATCCCTATATTACACCTCACCATACCTGCCAAGTAATTCACTTGTCCCTAAGAATTATTTAGGTTTCTAGTTTCCGAATGAAAGGAAGAAAGACAATCCATTTGGAAAACAGAATGGAATCTCCCTGAATGACCAAACTAAGCCTTCTTTAAGGAACAAAAACTATATAAATCTGTATCCTCTGACAGTCTCAAGGACAGAAGGTAAAGGAGTTTTTAGCTAGAAGTAGCATGTTATAGGGAGGCTTGACTTGGAGCCAGGAAGATCTAGGTTCAAATCCTGTCTCTAACCCTTGACAGCTATGCGATTGACTCAGGGCAAGTCATTTAAATTCTCCGAGTCTCAGTTTTCTCATTTGTAAAACGAATGGCCTCTGAAGTCCTTTCCAGCTCTAAATATATTATCCGGTGAATAAGATTCAAAATTTAAGCAATCTTATCGTACAACAACAATCATGAGAAACAAAGATCAAACACTTCAGGTTAATAGTTTCTTACTCACTTCAAGGATTTAGCAACGATGGTAGACATAAATTATGCACAAGACAGAGCAGTTCGCCAAAGTACTCTGAAGAGGTCTTTCCCCCTCACCCTCATGTGACAAATCCCAGAGTAAGATGGCATAAAAAGGAGAAAAAGACCAACACACTGGCTAGTCTTTGTGACCTGGCTACCAAGAGTCAGTTTGGGGGGTTGGTCAAGGAGATGAATATAGTTCTTTGCCCTTTCACTTATTTATTTTTAAAAATTTTGCCACTGAATTTATGTAAGCTGCCCTAAAGTCCCTGAAATTCATGAAATTTTTATTAAAAATTCTAGATAATTTTAACAAAATAAAAATATGTTAAAAGTTAATTGGAAAACCAAATAGCTTCACAGTTTTGTCAAAGATTTTCTGAAAAAACAAAAACAAAAACAAAAAAAACAAAAAACAATTGGATAGCTTGGTCATGTAACTTTTTATTAAACAAAACATTAAATTTTTTTTTTATCTTCAGCACAGAAGTTGTCATCGATGCAGGGGAAGGAAAAAGCAGATGGAGTGAAGCTATTTCTTCAGTTTCTTTTGGGCAGCTTTCTTCTTGACCATCTGTAAGCGCTTCATTGCATTGAGCTGCGACTCCTGGGAAGTCGGGCCCTTGAGTGAGGACGATGACGGGCTGCTAGTAGGCTCTGAGCCGGTTTTAGTGGCACCTCCACTCGCCCCTGCTGCTCCACCACTCCCGTTCCCGCTGCTGAGCTGGCTGCTCCCTCCGGGAACTAAGCTACTTGGGCTGGGGAGGCCGACTTTGCTCACGTTGTCACTACTCACCGAGCGACTGAGGCCAGTTTTGCCTAACGTTAGAGGAGGCAGAGGCTTCAGTGATACAGGAGTGGTACTGCTGGTAGGAGAAGTTATTTTTGAACCCAGGGCAGCTTTAGATGTGGTGGCCAGTCCAGTCAAACCCACTGCTTTCTGGTTGGCTGAGGAGGTGGCAGGTTTCCCGCCAGCATTCTGTGTTGTTGAACTAAGCTTGGTTGTTGAAGGTCCGGCAGAAGAAGTTTTGGCTGCAAAAGCTGCCCATCCTGTTAGGCCACTGGGTGCGGAGGAGGAAACGCTAGAATTGGAAGAGTTTCCTGAAACCACTGTGGATGGCTAAAAATAAATTAAATACTGCGTTAGAATATACATTCCTCAAGCCCTGTAAGAAAATTTAATCTCTTTATTTTTTAAACCATAGGAAACCTATCAACTGTTAAAACTAGGCCCAAATATAAGGTAGAAGGCAATGAAACAGTTTTTAAAAATAAAAAATTAAAACAAACAGACGAGAACTTACAAATCTGAGTTGCCTCTTCCATAATGATTATGTTATGTGTCATGTGTGTGGGCACGTGTTTTCCATACCTCGTGTTACCAAATAAGGAAGGATGGGGTTCGTCCTCTTAAAATAAGGCTTTTATCAGCTGTTTGAAGGTAGAACTGCTGTAGCCTTGACTTGTACCCGGATTCCTGTTTCATTACAATTTCTTCCATTAACCAAGCTGGCCAAATTAAATACCTCTGAGTGCAGATGACAACAAAGACATATAGAACTCTGCATGAACAATATTTATTTCTGCATTCATACTGTATAATTCTTTCAATGGAAATTCATGTTGGCATTCTTACCCATCCTTGCTAATTTTTCAAAAGTTCCTCTCAGACCATAAAACAGTTTAATGAAAAACAATCCTGGCTCAGAAAAAAACCCAGTGATATTTGCTCTGTCTAAAATAGCAAGGGATGCTCAGAGACCTGAAAAAACATACCTTCTTCCATTAAAGCTGGCTTCATAATGCCTGCTTGAAAGCACTGTTTTTTAAAAAATTATTTAATATTTTATTTTTCCCCAATGACATGTAAAAACAATTTTTTAACATTTTTATTTTTTAAATTCTGAGTTCCAAATTCTCTCTTTCTCTTCCCTTACTGAAAAGGCAAGCAATTTGATACAGCTTATACAAGTGCAGTCATGCAAAACATATTTCCACGTTAGTCATGTTGTGAAAGAAAACAGACACCCCCCTTCCTCTCCCCTCCAAAAAAAACCCAAGAAAAATAAAGAAAACTAAAAAAAGGTATGGTTTCATCTGCACTCAGACTATATCAGTTCTTTCTCTGGTGATGTACAGCACTTTTCATCATAAGTCCTTTCGAACTGTCTTGGATCATTGCATTGCTAAGAATAGCTGAGTCCTTCACAGTTGATATTGTACAATACTGCTGCTGCTGAGCCCTTCTCCTCCCACTTCGCTGTTTGGTAAGATAGAGTTCTACATCCAAGTGAGTATATATGTTATTCCCTCTTTGAGCCAATTCTGATGAGAGTAAGGTTTATATGCCACCCCATCCTCCGCTGTCTCTTCCACTGTAATAGCGCTTTCATGCCTCTTTTATGTGAGACAACTTACCCCATTCTCTCTCTCTCTTTTCCCCTTCTCCCAGGGCATTCGTCTTTCTCACCCCTAAATTTTTTTTTAAGATCATCCCATCATATTCAACTCACACCTATGCCCTCTGTCTATGTATCCTCCTGCTAACTGCTCTAATATGGAAAAAGTTTTTAGGTGTTACAAGTATCATTTTCCCATGTAGGAATGTAAACAGTTTAACCTTACTGGAACCTTTATGATTTCTTTCCTGTTAACCTTTTTGTGTTTCTCTTGAGTCTTGTATTTGAAAATCAAATTTTCTATTCAGCTCTGGTTTTTTCATCAGAAATGCTTGAAAGTCCTCTATTTCATTAAATATCCATTTTCCCCCAAGGCATTATACTCGGGTAGGTGATTCTTGATTGTAATACTAGCTCTTTTACTTTCTGGAATATCATATTTTAAGTCCTCCAAATCTTTAATGTAGAAATTGCTAAATTTTGTGTTATTCTGACTCTGGCTCCATGATATTTGAATTGGTTCTCTCTGGCTGCTTGCAATATTTTCTCTTTGACCTTGGGAGCTCTGCAATTTGGCTATAATATTCCTGGGAGTTTTCAGTTGGGATTTCTTTCAGGAGGTGATCAGTGGATTCTTTCAATTTCTATTTTATTCCCCAGCTCTAGACTACATCAAGGCAGTTTTCCTTGATGATTTCTTGAAAGATGCTGTCTAGGCATTTTTTTTTGTTATCATGGGTTTTATGTAGTCGAACAATTCTTAAATTATCTTTCCTGGATCTACTTTCCAGGTCAGCAGCTTTTCCAATGAGATATTTCACATTTCTTTCTACTTATTTCATTCCTTTGATTTTCTTTTTTTTGTTTCTTGATGTGTCATAGAGTCATTAGCCCAAATCTAATTTTTAAGGAATTATTTTCTTCACTGAGCTTTTAGACTTCCTTTTCCATTTGGATAATTTTACTTTTTAAAGAGTTCTTTTCTTCACTGAATTTTTGTACCTCTTTTTCCATCTGGCCAATTCTGCTTTTCAAGGCATTCTTCTCTTCACTGGATTTTTGTGCGTCTTATGCTATTTCGCCTATTCTATTTTTTTAAGGTGTTGTTTTCTTCAGTATTTTTTTGTACTTCCTTTACAAAGCTACTGACTGTTTTTTCATGATTTTCTTGTATTACTCTCATTTCTCTTCCCAATTTTTCTTCTACCTCTCTTAGGTGATTTTTAAAATCCTTTCTAAGCTCTACTAGGAATTCTTTTTTAGGTCTGACAACAATTCACATTTTTCTTTGAGGCTTTAGATGCAACAGTTTTGACTCTGTTGACTTCTAAGTTTGTGTTTTGCTCTTCTCTGTCACCACAGTAACTTTCTATGGTCAGGATTTTTTTTTGTTGTTGTTTGTTTATTTATTTTTGCAGTCTATTTCTTGACTTTTAATTCTGTGTTAAAGTGGGGTTCTGCTCCCAGGGTGGAGGGGCACTGCCTCCAGCTTCAGAATTTTTGTGTAGCTGTTTTCAGAGATAATTCTGGGGACCCGTGAGTTTTCAGTTCTTCCAAGATGGTATGAACTAGAGAAAGGTGTGCTTACCATTCTCCTGGTCTATACTCCAGTCTATGAGTGACCACAAGTACTCTTTTCCAACCCGGAACTATGACCAGGGTCCCAGCTCCTCTGTGCCTGCAAACTTTGGTGTGCTAGTATTCTCTCACCTTGGCACTGGGACTCAGATCCCAGTATGGGCAACACAATAGAATCCTACCTCCAGAGTCAGCAAAGGGATCCCTGTAATCTCCTTCTGGCACAGCCTGTGCTGGACTCTGCTCCACTTTCACTCAGGTGCAACAGACCTTTCCTACTGACCTTCTAAGTCGTCTTGGGCTAGAAAACTTTTTCACTCCATCTTTTGTGGGCTCTGCCACTCCAGAATTTGTTACTTAAAGTTGTTTGGAGGGGAGTTTAGGAGAGCTCAAGCAAGCCCTTGCCTCTTCTTTACCATCCTGGCTCCACCCACATTGTTATATTTTTAACCACTGTGATCAACAATTGAAACTAAGTCTAAGCTGTCTACTTTGTATGAGGGAGAATAATAACTTTGGTTCACTGAGTGTGACGAGCGTCAAGATTATTACAGTAGCTTTATAGGACATCTCACAAGGTTATCAAAGGAAGCACTTGCTTCAAGTAAACAAGAGAGTCACAAAGGAACACATGTAGGTCATCCGAGAACATATTAGTACAGAAATCAAAAGAGAGGTGTAATAAACATAATTTTCAGCAAAAGCAAAGCTAATATTTTTTTCTTTTCTCTCTAAAACAAATCATCAACCATATGGCAAAATAATCCCTCAATAAACTTCACAAAATGCAGTCTATTTGAAGTAATTAAAAAGAGCAGCACTTGTGAGGCACAAATAAGGAAGCCAATCCTTCAGACTTGGTGTTTTATTCTGATGACTTTCGGTTACCTAGCATTGCTATTCCGTTGGACAACAGATGGTCCATCACACAACCAAGATGTAGGTAATGAAAATAATGGAGACAAAAATATTCTCTTCATTGTTTCCAGGAAGAAAAATTTTTCCTTCTAAGCTGTTTAAACTTAAAACATTTTCTTGGCTCTTATCCTAGATAGAGCTTCTTTACCTACTGTGTGCAAATGAGAACAAAATGAAAATAAATTGTTCTGATGAATTCACTTTTACTTGTTTGTTGTCTTTTTATCATTTCACGAGAAGCCTCCATTTATGGGTATTTTCTGCTAAGAATCACGTAACAAATAATTTAAGGAAAGATCCTAAATTCTCTATTCATTACTCAAAGATTTCACATGTTTTTCACAAAATTTTTGCCATAAGTAAATTATTTGAATGTAATCTATTTTAGAAGTGATTAAATTTAATACAATTAATATTTCAAAGGGGTGACACTTGTAGAAAAGAGCAGCAGAAAGTAAAAAATGTGAATGTTGACACATTGAACCTATGGGAAATAGGGAGTTAGGTTCCTGGTACTACCAAAAAACAGATTTTTCACTAGAGATTGCTGAAAACACTTTTTCACATAAAATGTTTTATAACAAAAGATTAATTCTGATAATAAGTACTTTTCCTAACACAGTGAAATAACCCATAAAATGCAGGGGAGAGGAGAGGTAATGCCTGATGGGACTGAGAGGGGCAGGGCTGGCAATGTCAGAAGAACCCTGAGGTAAAAAAAGGAAAAGGGTAACCTGCCATCTCCGATCTCCCATTTGGCTCTGTGATTAAACTGTTCCCTAATGAAAAGCACATGCCTTAGGTTGAATCCCCGGCCCCTGGTCCACGGCCTCACTGCCTGGAGCAGTGTGGCTGACTCGTCAGGGGCAGCCTCCTATGCTCCTCTGTCACTCTGAGCCAGCCCAAGCCTGGCTGAATCGGCATCAGGGGTAGCAGGGACACTTCCTCAGCTGAGCAAGTGGCAAATGTGTGCAGTTGCCAACGCAAAAGTGAAAATGAGGTTACTAATAAAATCACAAGAATGCTCGAAGTTGGGAAAGTTAAATTCATGACTGTTGAGAACTGACTGTACATAACAACCCATGAAATTAATTATGCTTGCCTGTACTAAGCTGGATCAGAAATCAATATGGAAGCCATATCTATATCAAAATTATCAACTGTTCTGGCTTTTTTTTTTTTTTACAGTGAGAACACAAATATCAACTAACCAGTGGACCAATACATCAAAATTACTTACTAACGTATTTTTTTAAAAGACAGATTTCTTCATATTTTTCCTACCATCTTATGAGTTTCTGGATCTATACTAAAGGTAGTATGGAACAGAGAGAGTTTATTAGACTTTTCTGGCATCAGACTTAGAGGGCTTCTGAACAGCCATTTCTTTGACCTTGTCAGTTTCCTGAATAAAACTAGAATGTGAGTATATGCAGCTCAATGACAGAAGTGAGAAGTGGTCTTCTTCCTAAAGGAATCAGAATAGCATTTTAGCCTACAATGAAGTGACTACAAGATGGTAACAGCAATCCAATGTGTTCTCAGGCATGGAACCTCAAAGGTGATAGAGCCACACAAGATGATTTCATCTGGGCCCCCTATTTATGAGACAGACACCATAAAAAGTTTTTCCTTTTCTGAATTAAAAATTAAACAGAACTCACAAAGGGAGAGCCTTAAAACTCCAATCACCTTTAAAGAATATAAATCAGAAAGAAGAGTGATAACTTAAACTTTGATATAAATACTCCCTTCTTCACCTAATGTTAATAGGAACAGTCTCATTTTTAACATGGATTTTGACATGTTAGGGGAAAAAATGCACAAAACTGAAGAAAACTCTTGCTGAACTAAACAAATTTTATCAGAATAAAAATATACGCTACCTTAACTTCTGTTCTCTTGAATGCTAGAAAAGTTGTTTCTTGTTTCAGTTTAGTTTCAGGTTTTTTAACCAATGGATCTTTAACAGCTGGAGCTACTGAAACGACAGCAGGGGCTGGCTTTTGGGCTGGTTTCTGTGTCTTCTGAGCCTGGAGAAAAAATCAATGGCTTCTATGAGGAACATCATCTGGGGCACTCAATTAAAACGCCAAACAAGAAAAAAGACCAGTAAGATCCCTTTCTACACGATCTGACTTTATAAGAAAATTGTTTAAAAGAAATTTCAACTGTTCTAAATATTTTATCATCCACTCAGAACATACAATCTGGGCCAAACTTAATATGTGTCATATTAATGAAAATAGCAGACGTAACTTCTGGCAAAGAAAGCAGTGCATGTGGGAAATTATGACAACTAGATGCTACATGATGTTATCTAATGTCAACTGAAGAGATTCAGAGAAAAGGAACAGGAAAGCCATCTGTAATCAAAGTACACCTACCTCTTCACCAGGCTGGTCTTGGTCTTCCTGGAGATAGTTGGAAGAATTCTCCAAGGACCAGTCACCTAGCCTGACTCAATGAGACCAGGTTCAAAAAGGAGTTGTTCTCCTCCATCCTCCACCCAACACAAAAAGGACAGCAATGGAGCTCCAAAAAGAGAGGGTGGAGGGAAACTGTGACTCTTGCTAATACTCTATTTTCCAAACTAAGAGACATTACTGTTCTTCACTGAATTCTAGGATTACCTCGTACATCCAAAGCAGAAATCATTACCTTTTCCCCTAAAACTATCACTCTTTCAAATTCCCCTTTTTCTGTCAAGGACACTACCATTTTTCCAGTGTCTCAGGTTTACAATCTTGCTGTCATCCTCAATTTCTCTCTCTCCCCTTCACTTCAACATATCTAATCTGTTGCCAAATCTTGCTTTTTCTACTTCTGCAACACCTCTCATATCTGTACCTTTCTTTCTACTCACACAACCACCATTCTAATTCACCTCCTTATCATCTCTCGCCTGGACTATTGCAATCGCCTCCTAATTTATCTCCCTGTCTCGTTTCTTCCCACTACAATCCATCTTCCATACAGCTGCTAACATGGTTTCCCTGAAGGGTAGATGTAGCCACGCCATAACTATACTCAATTTACTCCAATGGCCACCTACTGCCTCGAGCATCAAGTACCATCTCCTGTGTCTGGCCCCAACCTGCCTCTCCCCAGGCCTGCTGGCCTCCAGCCCACCTGGCCTTCTTGCTGCCCCCACACAGAATCTGCCTCCTGTGTCTCTGCTGCTTCTTCACCAGCTGCTCCTTATTCCTGAAATGGGCTCACTCTTTAGCCCCCTCCTCTTCAATTTCTTGTTTAATTCAAACTCAGCTCACGTGTCACTTTCTACGTGACCCCCTTCCTAATTCCCCAGGCTACTGGTGCCCTCTTGCTCAAAAATTATCTTGATTAATTACTTGCTTTATTAGTCAAAACAAGACTAAATAAAAATCATTGGCCTATTATTTTTTAATTTCAACACTTAGGGTTCTTAGGCTACATAGAGGATATAAAACAAAGGAAAATGCATGGAATCAAGAAACCTAGAATATAGAACGAGCTCTGACTCGAACTTTTAAAATCTGTTTTAGATCATCATTTAACCTCTATTTCAATTTCCTCATTTCTAAAATTATCCCACAGAATGAAATTCAATTCAATTTAACCAAAAAAAAATTCATTATGTGCTGCTCAACATTCTAGCAAGTACAGAGTATTCTATAGGATAACGGTGGCATATTGAAGAGTTTGCAATCAGAGTAGCTGGGTTTGAATCCTGGTTCTGCAAGTTACTGCCTCCATGATTCTGGGTAAATAACTTTAGCTCTGTGGCTCTCCGTTTGCTCATCTACAAAACGAGGGAGCTGGACTAGATTTATAAGGTCCTTTCTAGCTCTAAATCTATTATCATATGAAATATTACAGCAATAAGCTTATTCAGCTAATCAAGAAGAGAGAGGCAACATAGCGTAGTCGGGAGATGGCTGGATGAGGAGAGCCTCACGTCTGACTCAGACCGGCGGCTGCTGCGTGACCACCGACTGGCAAGGAGCCCCAGCCATTCTCTAAGATGGAAAGTTATCCCCATATAAGTTACACTAATTTGTACTGGCAGAGAGAATTTCTATACCAATTACATCATAGGTCCTGACATAAAAAAGGCAAAAAAATCCTTATCTATGATTATTGTTACCAATTCCCAATGACTTAGGTAGATAATGCATTATGTTATTTGTTAAATGGAGAACATGAGAAATTAGGATGAATAATCGGTTAAACATGAATTAGTCTAACTTCCAAACTGTAGTTGGACAAATTCTCAGGTCCAAACAAAATGTTTAAATCTTAGCTTTTTCCTAGTTAGTTATAATTTAGCTGAAAACAAACTGCAGTATCCTGAACAATCACTTTAACTACTTCTTGTGATTTACAAAGATAGACTAGACATATTTACTTAGATTTTTAGATATTCTTCCTGATTAACCTTGAATAAGTGAATAATTCACCTTTATAAAAGACATAAAAATATTTGATTTGTTGTCACTGCCCAAAAACAAAAGAAAAAGCTTGAAAGCCAAGTGACCAGAAAACATTTTTCCTTTTTTTTTTTAAAGTCAGAAACACACACCATCGCACTCACACTATTCAATAATACAACAAATAAAAATGTTCCCTAGTTCCACGTAATTGCAAGTTAACTATGAGATGAAATAAAGGTGAGAGAAGTAGAGGTGGAAAACGAGAGAGATGATGACAGAGAGAAAGAGGGAAATAGAGGTGTGCACAGAGCAAAAAATTATATATACAACTGAGAGGGGTAATGAGAAAAATGACACTGAAAACACCATGTAGTGATGTCTCCATCTTCTGGTCTTTTATGATATTGCCACTAGAGACTTGTAGAGCTATGTTGTATTTTCACAACTATAAGCATCCATGGGGTTATCGTTTTTTGGTGGCTACCCAATGGCTGGATGAAATTAATCTAAAGCTCAGATAAGTACCGTGCCCAGATAATACACTGTGCCATGTGCTAAACGGAAAATACATACTTGCCTAATACACCTACCACATGTACACAATAATACCAATACTCGAAGACAACGTATATGCACGCACACATAGTCATTTTTAAGGGTTTTTCCTTTAAGCTTTCATTTAATTGTTATTTTGGAAAACTGATACAAGCATGAGTTAAACGTGACAACAGAGACTTCAAAAAAGACAAAGAGCCGGTTCCTACCATTCTCTTCATTTGCCTCGTGCATCGAGCACAATACCATACGAGGCGTGGGTCATTCACTTCCTTGTCAGTCACCTGAGGTTTATGGCAATCCTGGTGATAGAGATTATGGCACTCTTGACATTCTACTAACTGATTGCCAGATGCTACTGTCATTTGCCTAAGAGAACAGATTGTTTAAAAACATTATTTTATTAAATGCAACAGAGTTTGAAGTCATGTCAGACAATATTTAGTATTTGACAATATTGAATATTAAAAATAAAAAAAGTTAAACTTGTCAATATTCAAAGCTTCTCCTACATTTTATATCTAAAGAAGAAGATTCTTTATTTTGTTCTTACACTCAAATGCTTTCATGGACTTCTATTTACTTAGTTTATAATGCTAGGTGCTATTGAAAAAATTGTAAATATTTCAAGATTTTAAAATAACTGTCACATGCAAATATAATGCCAAACTAGGCAATGGAATGAAAACTGAGAAATGCTTAGTACCCTAAGAGAACTGTGAATGCCAATTCATTAAGATCAACATGGAAATTTTAAAGTTAGACAAAAGGAAAAGAAATAACAACATTATCTATTTGATACGGAAATGTGCACAGAATTTAAGATATGATTTTTAAAATCATGCAATTACAGAGAAGGCATTAGTCATAGTCGTGACTTTCAGAAAACAAGGCAGCTTATGATGAAGACTTCATTTCTTTAATTTATTTAGGTCTCTGGTGAAAAGAGTCACTTGGTATAAATGAAAAATTAGTGATATGCCTGTAAGTGGATGTATGTCTATGAATTAGCCAAATAGCATTTTCCAAATGATTTCTCTTTTCAGATGACAAATCAGGCTATTTAATTGCTAAGCGGCTTTTGTACATATCCCTGAGGACCAGGTATCTAGGTAACCATGGCAACTATGTTTGTGGATGGGTGGGGAAAGGTAATACCTTATTCCTTTACTTAATAAGAAAATGAAGATGGAAGAAATTGCTCAGATGGCTTTATGGAAATATTTTATGAATATATATTTTAAATGAAATATTTCAGATTTGGAATTATATGTATATAGACACACACATATATACACATTTCGGATTGCATTAAATGCTTTCTCTTGACCCAATTCACTCTAAGAAGTAGCATTTTATCTAAAATAAAAGGATCTTCACACTTGAAGATACTTTCAAAAGAAAAATTATTTCTACTAGAAGCTAAAATCAGATATGTAAGGTTTTAAAAATACAAACTGAATAATTTATATTAAAAGAAGTCACTATATTTGCCAGAATCCATAAGATATACTGCTTAAATGTTTAGAATTTCCCCAAACTTTAAATTTAAGCTAAAACATCCACATCATTTTCTTTAGATAACAAAGTTCATAGATTATTTTAGATACTTTTCATCAATAAATCCTTTGGGACTAAATCAATATGTATTTTCCTACCAACCTACATTTCCCTTCCTCCTCTAAAGAATTAAGGGGACAACATCACCCGGAAGTTGAATTAATGTGAAATTCTTCAGTCACAGTAATCAGCCAATACTAGCTGATAGCAATATGGCTTGTCTCATCAATGGAAATCACAATTCCTGGATTTTTTTCCCCTCTAGTCAGCACTGACACATATTGACTTTAGGCAAACCATTTCCCCTTTTCTTTTCTCATTTATAAAATGAGCACATTAGTTAAATCAAGCAGTAACCTTGCAATGGGGCTTACTTTATGTTAAAAGGAAGGAACGAATATGGGTAAAAACAATTGATGAAGCATGCAGGCGGTACAGTACAGTGGAAAGGGTGCTGAAGTTGGAGATGGGTCTGCTGCAAAAAGACCTAAGGTCAAATCTCACGTCACACTTGTTAGTTGTGTAACCATGAATAGGTCACTTAACCTCCTGAAGGCTCAGTTTCCTTATCTGTAAAATGGAGATAATAGTGTTTATACTCCATCTCTTCAAAGGGCTGTTGGGAAGGGTGTTCTCTATGAACACCAAAGTCCATATGAATATGATTTGTTATTATTATTCTGGCTGCAAAAAGACATTCCTTTTCAGAACCACATTAGCTCTCTCTGTCAAAGTCACAATGATGACCACTCAGAGTTCACAAAGGAATTCCAAAATGATCAAACTAACCTAGATGACAAAAAACAATCAACAAGCATCTGTAGTTGTACAGGCACTAGAGACTATAAGGAATTAGAAGTAACAGTTTTGTCCTAAAGAAGCTCACCTGTAACTAACCTGGTTACAATAATTTTTCATACACACTTTAAGTGACAAAAATCAGTTTTTTTATTTATTTATTTTATTTACTTATATTACCTGTTTATATTACGTATTTTTATATGTAACACTTTAGACTATTCCCCTTCTTATAGCTTTATTAAAAAGTGGTGTGGCTTAAAAGATATAGAAGGAATGACAATTAAATTAATAATTCAGCAGGGTAGGAAACACATAAAGAATACCATATTCTTCTAAAAGAAAAATGGAAAGAATGGAAACAACCATGCTTGTTCAAGGAATCTTACTTTTCATAAGCGGAAAAAGCCTGGACTGCCTCCCTTGCAAACCACAAGTCTATGACAATCTCAATATTAAGACAGGAGCTCTCAGAATTATATACTAGTGGAGTTGGGAAGGGCCTTGAGAGATAATACAGAAGCAGTTCACATTTATATAGTGCTTTTAAGTGCTTTCCTCCCAACAACCCTTGGAGGTACAGGGAATCAGCAGGAATCTCTGAATTTTAGAGAAGCACAGTTTGAATGATTTACCTTTGCTCACACAGCCCCTGCCAGCCTCTCCTGGGTCTTAGGCCAGTCATCTTTCCACTGAGCCATAATACATAATCAGGGATCAAAGAAGTCATCAAGAAAGTAAAATAACATCAGAATATTTGGCAGTTTTAAAGATTTCCTATACAATATACAGAGTTCACATAGGGATAAACCAATTTATTTTTCCTTCCCCTTATCTCTCTAGCTCTATGTCTCTCTGCCTCTGTTTCCCTCTCTGGCAAGGTGTCACTTACCTACAAACAACACAAGCCAATCCCATTTCCATGGCAAAGTCATCAGCACTGGTCTCATCAAAACTGGACAGGTCAGGCATAGCCAGGTCCTTGCTGGTCTGAACTGTGATGGGAGAAGAACGAGACTCCTGCTTCTCTAATCTGGGTTTTTTGGGAACGTCGGCTGCTTCACTGGTGTCAGCCTTCATCTATCAAAAAGAGCACACGTGTACATACCATAAACACGCAAACAAGATGAAAAGCAAAAGACTTCAGTGTTCTGATCAGCAAGTAATTGTGGCAGAAGCAACTGCAAAATGCTAAAAAAACAGATAAAAAGATGACGATACACATAAAAATTTTAAAAATAAGAGCAGCTAGATATAGTACTTTACGTATGTTATCTCATCAACTGGCAAAAATGGAAGCTTGGGAGGTTTAAAAGTAATTTTTTTTTTCATTCAGTTAAAAATCACTAAGGAGAAAATTTTATAAAATCAAAACATTTTAGTGTGAATCTTTTATACTTGTTTTTCTACAGACCAGATAAACAAAAGTGGGCATTACATGGGCTCTATTTTCTAACTGCTTTTTCATTCTTTGAATTTGATTCCCATGTGACTAATGAAATTTCCATGTTTTCTTGGTTCCTATATGGCAGAAGAATTGGCTACTAAATTATAACTAAGAATATATCTCCCCCCCCCCCCCCCCCCCCCACCCCGGTTCAGGCGCCACCTTCATGACTTCCACTCAATAAATAACTTCATCTTTACTTATTTACAATTTTCACTGCTCTCCATTTACTATAGAAGAAGAAGGACACCGATGAACGGGCAAACGTCAAGAAGAGTGCGCTGACAACTATGAAGGGCCTCAAGGAATGTCTAGCCTACCTATTATAAACTATGTTAGGTTGTCGGGGAAGAGAAGCCTCGGAGGAGACAACACAGTTATTTTTAAGCATCTGAAGGACTGTCTTTCAGAAGAGGGCCTCAGAGGGCCACACCAGGAACAACTCGTAGAAGGTACGAAAAAGGAATTTGGGCTTTATGTCTGAAAAAACTTTCTAACAATGAGAGAGATCCAAAAGTGGAATGGACTACCCTGAGAGGCAGTAGGTGCCTCTGCAGTGAAGATCTTCAAACAGAAGTCGGATGACCATACGTCAGTCATGTTTGAGGGGGATTCTTTTTCAGATAGGCTAGGTAAACAGTGAAGTCCTTTCCAATCCTAAAAATTCTGTAACTCCTTCTCAATCTTTCTTAGCAATGAGTTAATTGCTACCAACATTTCATCTTAACTACATTAATCTAAATTAATACTTGCTACATAAGCTCTTCATCCTCAAATTTCTTCTTGGCATAGGTGTCCTTATCAAAAACCTATCCTGAGTCAAATGCAAAGATCTGGCAATTTTCCACATGTAATACCATCCTCTTGATGACTTCTCTAATTATTACCACATTTGAAGCAGGACATGATAAGCTCGAGAGTATTTAGAATAAAGCATCCAGGATGGTGAAGGACCTTGAGATTATGCTATTTGAGCTGAAGGAACTGGGGATGTTTATCCTGGAAAAGAGAAGACTTAGGCGGACATAACAACCTTTTTCATCTATTGGGTTGTCATATGGAACAGGAATTAGACTTGTCTGACTTGTCCCCAGAAGGTAAACTAAGATCAATGAGTAGAAGTAAATTGAGATTTAGGCTTGATATCAGGAAATAGTGGAATGTGACACCTCAGGATATAGTGCGTTTCCTTTTCTTGGAGTTTTCAAGCAAAAGGCTGGATGGCCACTCGTCAAGAGTTTGTAGAAGGGATTCTTGCTCTGAACTAGGTCCCTTTTAATGACAATTTTGTGACTAATTTTACTTGACTTTGAGCTCACTTTGAGAACTCTTCATGGTGCTGATATCATCTGCCTATCTTACTACATATCAAATCATGGAGCTTAGGCAACCTCATGGTTTTGGCTGTCATTTACATGATGCGACTATAAGGTAAGGAGACTGATTTTCTTGTATGGCTTATGGAGTAACGAACAAAACATTAGAGAAGTAATCAAAGGAGGATTATGTTACAATTTATTTCAAATTGCAACAGTACTTAAGCTTGGCTAGTGAGTCTTACAGCATTAGTTCTTGTGAGTACAAGTATCTTTATTGCTAAAATAAAAATGAGTGACCATTATTTAGAAGAGAGGTTCTATGGACAGTTTTCAGGGGGCCCATGAACTTCAATGGGAAAAATATTACATCTTTTATTTTCCCTAACCTCTAACTAAAATTTATCTGAAAATTAATTCTGAATTCAAATTCTAAATTAATTCTAATTCTAAATTGTTAATTATGGAAAATTAATCAAAATATTGTCCTGAAAAGGGATTCATAGCATAGGCTTCCAAACTGCTGAAGTGATCATGTATGATATAAAAAAATTAAGAACTACTGATTTTGGAGCAAAATATCAATAAAAAATCGTGTGTTATTAAATTATACATGACACATTAAAAAAACTTATTAAAGGGATTTAAAAATCTTAAAAGCAAGAGATTTCTTGATGGTGCACAAAAGTTAAGGCTACAAAAGATATGATGATCCACTTAAAGGTCCAACTAAAAGTCCATATATTTGTTTTGCTCATTAAGGCTACTCACTATAAAAAGGTCAGTCATATTTGAGATAATTACTCATGTGAAAGAAAATTTGAACATAACCAAGATTTTTCAAAGATGTGCCACACATTTTGAAAGATAAACAAGAATATCGGAGACCTGACATTTGTTTTCATTTTTCAAGTCAACCTGGACAAAAAAAGGGTCATTTTTGAGGAAAACAGTAGCCAGGAATAAAAAATGGTACTTCTTACAAGAACCAGAGATAAAATTTCAAAATAAATGATAGAAAACTACAAAATCCTTGAAAAACAAAGGAAATATGTCAAAATGATGAGGGAAGATGTTGTTTTCTTTGACATCGATGACACTATAAATTCATTCTATAAGAAGTCACAATCAGGCTAATTCTAAGTGAGAAATTTTGAATGAGGCAATAGAACTTAAGTGTGACTCTTTGATCAGTTTCTTCAGCATGCCAATTCTCTAGTTCTTCATGTACTCTTTATGAAATAGCTGTTGATCAAAAATGTATAAATTCATCCACTTTAGTGATTACATTTACATTACATAAATTACATTACATAAATGACTTTTATCCATTTTCAAAAATCAAATATACTCTTCAAGAGGTCTTTCAAATTTCTTAGCTGAGTATATATGGTCTACTACTCTCTGACTCCAGCCTAAATTTCATGACTCATTTCACTGTGTTTCTCTGCACATCTTCTACACACCAGCTACACAGACCTGCTGGCTACTCCCTGATCTTGTACTATACCTGTGCATCGGCCCTGTCTATCACTAAAGGTGGTAATATACTCTTTCCACAACCATGTCTTCTAAAATCCTTCTCTTCAATTCAGACCTAGCTTAGGTGCTACCTCCCCCATGATGCCTTCTCTGATCTTCCCAGCTGAAAGTGATCTCTCCCTCAATTTCTTATTGCACGTTGTTGAAGCATCCCTTCTGCCCTATCATCTTTACTGCTATACGTGTCTTATCCCTCTTATTACACTGTAAGTTCTGTGAAGGTGAGCCTGGGTTGGATTTTATTTTTGTATCATAGTAGATACTTGATAATCGTCTGGGTAATGAAAGAACGAAAGGACAAAACTCTGTTACACCTGAATATGTTCAAGAGCACTCACTGCAGGTTCTAAAAACAATCTTCAAAGAGAAGTGAAGTTCCAAGGGAATGATACTGAAGGGAATGCTTTACCTGAGCCATGATGATATATTGTATGTTATAAATGGAAAACAGTATGCACACAAATTTGTGTGTCTGTAGATGTATGACTGCACACATGCATCAATCTTCCATCTCTAAGACAGTAAGTACCTTCTTTAGTTTGGGAATAGCACCCGACAGACTTTTGATGTTGTTGGTAGATTTTTGGGGGAGAGAGGGGCCTGCACCTATAATTTTATCAGAGTAAAGAGTTTCTGTTAAATAAAATACTGGTGCCAATGCAGACTGATAACTACATATTCTGTAACTTACTTTCTTATAGTTGCTTAAGAGAGATTAAGTCGTTTGCCCACAGTAATACAGCCACTATCCCCTTGGGCAGGGCGTGAAGCAAGGTCTTCCTGACTCCAAGGCTAGCTCTTTATCTAAGCTGCACTGCTTTTCAACATTTAAACTCTACTCTTTAATCCTAGTATCACCTAGAATCCAAATATTTGTTGGTGAAAGTAAAAGCCTTGCACAACAATTTTCTAAAACTGTGCTCTTTAATCAAAACCTCAACATATCAATCAGGAATCGTTTATTGAGTACCTACCTAACTTACTCTGTGCCTGCACTGTGTATTGGGGGTACCAAAGAAGGATAAAAGATGTTCCTTAGTCAGGTAATTCACGTCACTCTATTTCCTATACTTAGTTAACAAAAAAACCCCCCAAACCAAAAAACAAGCCAGAAAAACTTACTTTATCAGCAGGCCTCTTTTCAACTTCTTTCTTCACCTTTTCAGCTGAGACGGGCTTGCCATTATTACTACCAGAAGGAAGACTGGAAGAAGTTTTGGGCTCCTGCTTAATGGAAATCGCTTTAGCACTTGACACTTTGGGAGGTTCCACTTCCTAAATGGTAAAAACAAACAAACAAACAGATAATTAAATGGAACATAATTTTTGGCATGTTGTAACTCTTTACAGGTCACATAGCTAAGCAAACCTTGCAACTTTAAAAACTTGTCACATTAGAAACACTAGGTAGCATGAGGAAAAAAAAAAGCCATAGAGTTGATATTTCATCACAACTTTTGGTTAAGGCTCAAGAGAAATTTCCTTGTCTTACAAGTACCTCAATAGTTCTTCTTTCTTATCTTTATATTAAAAGATTTTCATATGATGTTTCTGCAAACAAATAACAGATTTTTTTTTCTTTTTATGTAACTAGGACATGACATTTACCTTTGTATGGAACTTAACTGATATTGAAAAACCCTTCCAACTTTAAATAATGCCTCAAAACAAATTCTGGAGCATCAAAGCCACAAAAGGACAGGTGAAACAATTTTCCAGCCCAAGACAACTCAGAAGGAGAGGTCTGTTGCACCACAGTGAGAGTGGAGCGCAGTCCAGTGCGGGTCATACCCCTGCAAATCAGCAGTAGACATTGGGGGCAACTGAGTCAGTGGTGGCAGCAGTGGTTTTGGGACTTCTCAGCCCATAGAAGGTAAGGGGTCCAGACAACTGGTCAGCAGGAGATTACACAGATCCCTGTTCTGTCACCAGGGGCAAGACTCTGTTGCATTGCCTATACTTGAATCTGGGTTACAGTCCTGGGTCTCAGTCCTAGGGCAAGGAGGAGCACTAGCACACCAGAGCTTGTGGTCTGGTGGAGCTGGGACCCTGGTCACAGTTCCAGGTTAGAAAAGAGTGCTTTTGGTCACTCATAGACCAGAGCACAGGCCAGAAGAGCAGTAAGAACACCATTTTGGAAGAACCAAAAACTGAGAGGTGTCTAGAATTATCAGCTGAAAAAAACACGTGAAGCTTGGGACAGTGCCCTCTCCACCCTAGAAGCAGAGCCCCACTTTAACACAGAGTTAAAAGTCAAGAAATAGTCTGGAAAAATGAACTAAGAGCAGAAAAGGATCCTACCACAGTTATTATGGTGGCAGACAAGAGCAAAACACAAACTCAAAAGAAGTCAACAGAGTCAAAACTGTTGCATCCAAAACCTCAAAGAAAAATATGAGTTGGTCTCAGGTCCAAAAAAAATTCCTGGGAGAGCTCAGAAAGGATTTTAAAAATCAACTAAGAGAGGTAGAGGAAAAATTGGGAGGAGAAATGAGAATGATTCAAGAAAATCATAAAAAAAGTGACAACAGCTGGGTAAAAGAAGCACCAAAAAAAATGCTGAAGAAAATAACACTTTAAAAAACAGAATAGGCCAAATAGTAAGGAAGGTACAAAAATCCAATGAAAATCAGAATTGGCCAAATGGAAAAAAGAAGTACAAAAATTCACTGAAGAAAAAAAAAAACTCCTTAAAAAGTAGAATTATCTAAATGGAAAAGGAAGTCTAAAAGCCCAATGAAGAAAATAGTTCCTTAAAAATTAGAATTGGGGAAGTGGAAGCTACTGACTTCATGAAACATTAAGAAACAATAAAACAAAATCAAAAGAATGAAAAAATAGAAGAAAATGTGAAATATCTCATTGTAAAAACAACTGACCTGGAAAATAGATCCAGAAGACATAATTTAAGAATTGTTCAACTACTTTAAAGTCATGATCAAAAAAAGAGTCTAGATAGCATCTCTCAAGAGATTATTAAGGAAAACTGCCTTGATATTCTATTACCAGAGGATAAAACAGAAAATGAAAGAATCTGTCAATCACCTCCTAAAAGAGATTCCAAAATGAAAACTCCCAGGATTATTATACAGCCCAAATTCCAGAGCTCCCAGGTCAAGGAGAAAATATTGTATGCAGCCAGAAAGAAACAATTCAAATATTGTGGAGCCACAGTTAGGATAACACAAGATTTAGCAGCTTCTACATTAAAGGACTGGAAGGCTTGGAATATAATATTCTGGAGGGTAAAAGAGGTAGGACTACTATACAGAATCACTGACCCAGCAAAACTAAGTATAATACTTCAGGGGGAAAAATGGACATTCAATGAAATAGAAGACTTTCAAGCATTTCTGATGAAAAGACCAGAGCGGAATGGAAAATCTGTCTTTCAAATACAAGACTCAAAAGAATCATAAAAAGGTAAACAGGAAAGAGAAATCATAAGGGAGTCAATAAAGCTAAATGTTTACATTCCTACACGGGAAAATGATACTTGTAACGCCGAAAAACTTTCTCATTTTTAGGGCAGTTAGAAAGAATACACATAAATAGAAGGCACAGGTGTGAGTCGAATATGATAGGATGATTATTAAAAAAAAATTCAATCAAGGGGTAAGAAAGAGAAATGCACTGGGAGAAGGGAAAAAGAACAGGTAAATGAGGTAAATTATTTCATGTAAAAGAGGCATAAAAGAGCTTTTATATTAGAGGGGAAGATGGGGTCAGTATTGGGGTGGGGAAGAGGGCGTTCATGAATCTTACTTTCATTGGAATTGGCTCAAAGAGAGAATAACATACGTTAGGTTGGGTATAGAAATCCATCTTACCATGCCGGAAAATAGAAGGGGTGGGGGAGGGGTGCTAATAGAAGGAAGGAAGAATTTGGGGAGGTAAAAGTCACAGGCAAAACATTTTTGAGAATAGACAGGGTGAAAGGAAAGAGTAGGATAAATAGGAAGGAAGTAGGATGGAAGGAAATACACAGTAATCATAACTGTGAAAAATTTTTTATAGCATGTTTCTCTGATAAAGACTTTGTTTCTCATATACATAGAGAACTGAATCAAATTTATGAAAATAAGAGCCATTCCTCAACTGATAAATGGTCAAAGGATATTGAACGGGCAGTTTTCAGACTAAGTAAACAAAACTATAGTCACATGAAAAAATGCTATAAATCACTATAGATTAGAGAACTGCAAATTAAATGACTGCGGCCTACCACCTCACATTAATATGACAGAAAAGGAAAATGACAAATGCTGTTCGTGAAGTTATATATTGATTCAACCATTCTGGAGAGCAATTTGGAAATATGCCCAAAGGGCTATAAAATCATGCATACCCTTGGACCAAGCAATATCCTTACTAGATCTATATCCCAAAGAGATAAAAAACAAAAAGGAAAAGGATCTATATGTACAAAAATACTTATAGTAGCTCTTTTAATGATGGCAAAGAATTGGAAGTTGAGGGGATGTCCATCAATTGGAGAATGGCTGAACAAGTTGTTGTATGATTATGATGGAACATTATTGTGCTATAAGAAATAATGAGCAAGACGCTATCAGAAAAACCTAGAAAGGCTCTCACGAACTGATGCAAAGTGCAACGAATAGAATCAGAACATTGTACACAGTAACAGCAATATTGTATGATGATCTACTATGAATAACTTAGCTATTCTCAGCAATACAATGATCCAAGACAATTATGAAGCACTTATGATGAAAAATGTTATGCACCTCCAAAGAAAGAACTGATGGAGATTGAATGCAGAATGAAGCATATGCTTTTCTGAAATGACTGAACAGCAACTCCTTATGACTGCAATGACCACCATGATTATCCAAACCTGATGATAAAGCATGCTGCCCACCTCCTGGCAGAGAAGTGTTGGACTCAAGATACAGAATAAGATATATATTTTCAGACATGTTCAGACTTTTTCTTTACTTTTTTTTCTGCATTTTCTTTCACAACATGACTAACATGGAAATATGTTTTGCATGACTGTACATGTATAAAATATATCAACTGCTTGCCTTCTCAATGAGAGGAGCAGAAGAGGGAAGGAGGGAGAGAATCTGGAGCTCAAAATTTTTTTTAAATGAATGTTAAAAATTGTTTTTACATGTAAAACATGTAAAAATATTAAATTAATAAGGATGTTAACTGGTATTATTTCCTCTTCATTTGAAACCACACTGATATATTCAGACTTCAGCAAAAAGTGACACTACCAACTGAAAAGGTGAAAAACAAAATTTTGGGCAAAGGACTGGTTTGTTAGCCTCTTTTTTTTTTTTTAAAGCAATTAAGTGTCATGTCAGTGAACTTGTATTTTTTTATTTGCTTCAAAATAAAGTCCTATTCCAAGGCTTCCTGTGACAATGTATCAATATGTTTTCCTTAACTGAATTTCAGGAAGGGCTTTGATTAACTGGCAGATGTGAACCTCCAGTGTTTCCTACAAAGTGGACATCATACAATGTTCCTTTATAATTCTCTGCCTCTAGACACAGTATATTTTAGAGATTTGCATGCATTTTTCACATATAAACATTGATAAACCCAGTGTTTTATTTCCTCTGTTTCAACTTTTAAACTAGAACAGAAATTAAGTACCCAAGCATAGGTTCCCAGGGCAAGACATCTCCTCTACAAAATTATAGTGGTGGGAATTATAGTTCAGTGCTATAATTAAGTGAATCCTTCTGAGTGCCTTTTAAACACATAACAATATTTTTCTCAACTGCTCAAACTAGCAAAGTGAACAACTGCTGTTAACAACTTAAAACAGATCCCACTCCCAACCTTAAATTATTTATATTCAATGCTTGATATCTCAGCCGACCTTATCAGATGAACCTCCTTCTGTTTCAGAGTTTCAAAATGTTATTTTAGCACCATATTTTTTTTTCCATTGGTGTAACAACATAAAACAAGTAATTTAATTTGTTTTAAACCTTGTTTTGCATAACAGTATAATGTCTATTTGCCTTGCTATGTAACTACCTATGAGTCCACTTAAGCTCATCTACCCTCACCCGCAGTCATTGGGCAGAGGTTATCATTGAAAACTAAAGGAGAGAGTGGGTAGTACTGGAATCAGTATCTGAGCTAGGTTAGAGGTGAAATAACAGCTGCTTGGCTCTGATATTAAGCAGGAGTTGATGGTGGAGACTTGACTCCATTCTGACCCTTAGATTTCGTAATATACTATTCTACCACACAACTCTCTTCCTCATGTTCTGTCCATTTAAGTCCATAGGATAGGGTGATTCTCCAAGGTCAGACCCAATGAAAAACTGAAGCTGGAGGAGGTGATAGGAGCATTCCAAAGAGTCACTGAGAAGAGCTCACAAATAGTATGTCCATACCAACCCTGGCAATGTTTGGCAGCTGAAGCTACAAAGTTCTGGAGGTTCACTTTTAATTCAAATTGTCTTGACTACTGCTTATAGGCACTGTTCTTTTTTGTGTTTAAGATTTTTTTTTATTATCCTGAACTTTGACTATGTACACAGTAAAATAAAAAAAAAAGATTACACACGAAGCAGCATATTTCTTCTTTTCAAATATAATAAAATCAACTGTAACTTCCAAAGTCATCCTTCTTTCTTGCCTTCCTTCTGTTCTTTTGTATTTTTAATTAATTAATTTATTTTTAGTTTACAACATTCACTTTCACAAGATTTTGAGTTCCAAATTTTCTCCCCACCTCTTCCCTTCCTCTCATCCAAAGATGGCGTGCATTCTGAATACCCTTTCCCTGAATCTGCCCTCCCTTCTATCACGCCCCCTATCCCTTCTATTTTTCTGTAGGACAGAAAAGATTCACATACTCCTTTGCCTGTCTAACTTATTTCCCAGCACAATTTTTAACATTTGTTTTTAAAACTTTGAGTTCCAACTTCTCTCCCTTCCTCCCTCCCCACCCACCCTCATTGAGAAGGCAATTTGACTTAGGCTATATATGTGTAGTCATGTAAAACACTTCCATAACAGTCATATTGTGAAAGACTAATTCTATTTCCCTCTCTCCTATCCCACCCCCCTTTTATTCTATTCTCTCCTTTGACCCTGTCCCTTCTCAAAAGTGTTTGCTTCTGGGGGCAGCTAGGTGGCACACTCAATAGAGCACCGGCCCTGAAGTCAGGAGGACCTGAGTTCAAATCCGGCCTCAGACCATAAACTTGACACGTACTAGCTGTGTGATCCTAGGCAAGTCACTTAACCCCAATTGCCTTAAAAAAAAAAAAAGCTTCTGATTACTCCCTCCCCCAATCTTCCCTCCCTTCTATTATCTCCCTCCCCCCCCATTATCCCCTTCCCCCTTATTTTTCTGTAGGGTAAGATAGATTTCCTTACTCAATTGACTGTGAATATTATTTCCTTCTTAAGTCAAATCCAATGAGAGTAAGGTACACTCATTCCCTCTCTCCTCCCCACTCTTCCCTTCTACTGTAAAAGTTTTTTCCTTGCATCTTTTACATGAGATAATTTACCCCATTCTACCTCTCCCTTTCTCCTTCTCCCAGTATAACCCTCTCTCACTCCTTAATTTTACTTTTTAGATATATATATATATATTCCCTCCAACTACCCTACTACTGAGAAAGGTCTCATGAGTTACAAATATCTTTCTACGTAGGAATGTAAACAGTTCAACTTTAATAAGTCCCTTAGGATTTCTCTTTCCTGTTTAACTTTTCATGCTTCTTTTGAGTCTTGTATTTGAAAGTCAAAATTTCTATTCAGCTCTGGTCTTTTCATTAAGAATTCTTGAAAGTCCTCTATTTCATTGAATGTCCATCTTTTCCCCTGAAGGATTATACTCAGTTTTGCTGGGCAGGTGATTCTTGGTTGTAATCCTATCTCCTTTGACTCTGGAATATCATCTTCCATGCCCTCTGGTCCCTTAATGTAGAAGTGGCTAAATCTTGTGCTATTCTGATTGTGTTTCCACAATACTTGAATTGTTTCTTTCTGACTGTTTGCAATATTTTCTCCTTGATCTGGGAACTCTGGAATTTGGCTATAATATTCCTAGGGGTTTTCTTTTGGGGAATCTGTTTCAGGAGGAGATCGGTGGATTCTTTCCATTTCTATTTTACCCTCTGGTTCTAGAATTCCAGGGCAGTTTTCCTTGATAATTTCTTGAAAGATGATGTCTAGGCTCTTTTTTTGATCAAGGCTTTCAGGTAGTCCAATAATTTTTAAATTCTCTCTCCCGGATCTATTTTCCAGGTCAGTTGTTTTTCCAATGAGATGTTTCACATTGTCTTCAATTTTTTCATTCTTTTGGTTTTGTTTTAAAATTTCTTGACTTCTCATAGAGTCATTAGCTTCCATTTGCTCCATTCTACTTTTTAAGGAATTATTTTCTTCAGTGAGCTTTTGGATCTCCTTTTCCATTTGGCCAATTCTGCTTTTTAAGGCATCCTTCTCCTCATTGACTTTTTGGATTTCTTTTGCCATTTAGTCTAGTCTATTTTTTAAGGTGTTATTTTTTTTTAGAATTTTTTTGGGTCTCCTTTAGCAAGCTGTTGACTCATTTTTCATTATTTTCTTGCATCACTCTCATTTCTCTTCCTAGTTTTTCCTCTACTTCTCTTAGTTGATTTTCAAAATCTTTTTTGAGCTTTTTCACGGCCTGAGACCAATTTAGTTGTAAGCTTTTATATTTTTCCTTTCAGAATATTGTATTCCAAGCTCTTCATGCTTTTTAAAGTGGTACCTGCTAACTTTTGTCTAGGATTGAATGTGTATCATTAGTACCTGAATGCTTTCTTTTTGGCTGTTCGAAGTACTTTTTTGTTGAACTGAAAGCTCTGTATTTCAGCTATTACCCTCCTGGGAGTTTTCATTTAGGAGTTTCTTTCAGGAGGTAATTGGTGTATTTTTATTTTTACTTTGTCCTCTGTTTATAATAGATCTGAGTATTTTTGTTTATAATTTCTTCAACTTTTTCTTTGGTTTTGATTTTCAAGTAGCCTAATGATTCTTAAGAGAATTCTCTCTCCTTGACTTATTATTTAGGTTGGTGTTTTGGGTATTATATTTCTTAACATTTTCTTCTGTTTTTCAATATTTTTATTTTACTTTTAATATTTCTTTCTGACTCATGACCAGTGCTTTCTGTTTGGACCATTTTAATTTTCAGTAAGTTCAACTCCTGCCTAAGATTTACCACTATCCTAAGTATTTGTTTTCCTCGCCATTCTTTCTTCCCTAGCTGCTGTCTCCTTTAACATTCCATTTTATGTCTTATTTCATTTTTCTAGGTAGTCTTTGTTGACAGGGCAGTATTTTTCTCTGAGGCACTAGCTGGTTTTGTTGCACTATCACTCTCTTCTTCTGGCTTTACCTCCTGGTTTTCTCACAGTCACACAATATTTCTTCACCATTTGTCATTTTCCTGTTCACTCATATTTCCAGCCTCACCTTCTGGATTGCGGCTTTTTGTCTAGGTCCAACTCTGCTCTGTCCCACACTTTTGGGTGGAGTGAGCAGGCCCTGTTTAGTGCTAACTAAGGAGGTTAAGATAAGAGCTTGCTTTCTTCAAGAATTCCTGGGTTTTGCTCATTTCCTGGTGGCTTGACTTACTTCTTTGTCTCCTTACTCTAGCACAGTTCTGATTCAAGAGTTGGCTCTGCCCTTTGCTCTGGGTTTATGAGGCTGCATACACATACCACGGCTTGTGTTCTTACAAGACCCTAGACACTTGGCTGCCAGAATGCTGGCTTGGCCCCATCTTCTGTTGTGGCTACAGCTGTGACTTTGTGTGGGTTGCTTGGGCTGGGGGCTCTGCTGCTGGGGCACTTACTGGTCTGGCCCTGTCCCTTGCTCTGGTTCTAAGCACTCTGCCTTCTGCCTTCCTGGGCTGGTCTCTGTCCACGTCATCCACAGGATTCTAGTAATTCATTTCTGCACTCCTAGATTGGATGGAGGAGCTTTGGTTTTCTGTATCATTGTTGCTTCTAGAGTTCTAATGGTATGTAGTGGGGGATGCTTCTAGAGTTCTAATGGTACGTAGTGGGGGATCTGGGCTCCTCTAGGTCTCAACATGCTGCCATCTTCCCATAAATCCAGCCCTTTTTACTATGCAATAAAATTATTATCCTTTCTTTTTGCTTAATTCTTTAATTCCACAGACTAAAGACTTTAGGACTAACACAAAAGAGAAGGATATAGTTCTTATGTTCAGGAAAAACAAATCAACTTTTCTGTCAGACATACTAATAAAGAAAATTGCAAAAGTGAGGTAGGTTTCATAAATGAGTGCATTTATCATTCACATCTAATATGAGAATGAAGTCTTCTACCCCCTAAATTTGTCTAACAATTCAACTTAGATTTGAATGCTGAGAGAAGAAAATGAAATCTAATTTCTTCATGCTGTGAAAAATAATAATGTTGGCAAAGGGATCATCCCTAAATGCCTCAATCTTTTACCCTGTCCATTTACTTCTGATTTTTATTTCCATTGCACAAAACCTCTCTAGTAATTTAATTCACATACATACCTTTTGTGATGGGCGGTAACTTGAATCAATGCCTCTTGCCAAAGATTCATCCAGCAGAGCTTTTAGCTTTTCAGCAGAATCCTTGCTCTTTGAGTGTAAGAAGCCCAGTGCTTTCAAAAAAATGGGATCAAGTTCCAAGTTCACAGTAGCAGCCATTGCAATTACTAAATAAAAAAGAAACATGAAACAAAAGCATTTTATTGTCAACTCTTACTGATCTGTGACAATGTTTTAGCTCCAGACTTGTATTTTTCTGCCATACAGTATGGTTTTGCCTATGTTTGGTGAATACAAACTAATTCTATTATCACCCTAAGTCAAACAGACTTAGGAGGCAAATATACTACAAAAAATACAAAATTCAAATAACAAATACGGTTATTCTTAGTATAAGTTTTCCTCAGTTTAAACGCCTGACATGTTCCAACAAGGTTGGCCATAAACAAAATTCACAATCTCTGTTTCTCTAATGATTTCCATTATAAAATCAAAGATAGATTTCGACAGATAGTGAAAGATACATTCAGAGGCAGTTAGATGTCATAGGGGAGAGATGGTTGGGCCTGGAGTTACAAAGACCTGAATTCAAATCTGGCCTCAAACACTATCTGTGTGACCAGGGGCAAGTCACTTAACCCCTGTTTGCCTCAGTTTCCTCAATGGTAAAACAGGGATAATAATAACACCTACCTTTGATTTGAGGATCAAATGAGATAATATTTATAAAGCGCTTAGCCCAGTGCCTGCCACATAGTAGGTATCCTACATATGCTTATTCCCTCCCCTTCTTCCTTCTCTTTCTGTCAGACTAGCTGAGCTGGGGAGTGCTCTAAATTCCTGGCCACAGATGCTATGATTGTTCCCTGGTTGGTTGGTGCCTGTCATGCTTTCTACACACTTCTTTATCCTTATTTTCTCAATGTCACGTACCCCAGAAAACCCTTCTCATGCCCTGATTTTATCAATTCTGTATTTATTATGTCTCACATTCCTATATAAGATTAAAACCAATTTGGGGGAAGGGATCAAATCAAAATTACATAAATTCCATTGGGCTTATCATAATGCTAGGGTTCTTGCAGAACTTTCAATAAGAATAATGATAATAATTACAATAAATGAAGGTATTCTGATCTAGAATAATACTAAGAAAGCTTTAGTTTCAAAATATTGTGGATTCTGCTATAAAGATGTATCTCTGATGGTCACTTATGCAAATGCTTTAGCTAGAAAGGAATTGTTAAAATTGGTTAATATTACAATAACATAGCACACTTGCACTGGTAGAGTCAAGGGTTAGTCAGCAATTCCGTTACAATCTTCTGTTTTGGGGGGTTTATAAAGCCATTAAAACTTGTGTTAGGCTGAATCTTGACATTTTTTTCTGCTGCTTGGTTATTTTAAAGTTCCAGAAGAAAAAATGATACCCGCTAACTTTTACTACAGAATGCTTTAAATTGTTTTAAAAAGTTATACTAAAGTAAAAATTAAAAAAAAAAAAAAACTAAGCTAAGAGCAAAAATTTGAAAAAGCCATCCCCAGACTTGGCCTTCCTGCCTTTAAGTCACTGTCCAATTCAATCTATCCTCCACTTAGCTGCCAAAGTTGGTCAAAAACAAATGATAGAAACAATAATGATGTGAAAGAAAATAATAATAATGAAACAACATGCCAAAATTTTTGGGATGTAGCTTAAGCACTCATCAGGGGAAAAAAAAATCATATGCCTACAAATATACGTTAAAAATTTTTTTAAAAGAGCATTAATGAACTGAATATGCATTTAAAAATTAGAAAGGCATTAAATAAACTTAAAATAAGTACAAAAGAGGAGATGTTAAAAATGAAAAGAGAAACAGACACACTGGAAACAACAAAAATAGAAATAATAAAACTAAATGTGCTGGTTCTTTGAAAAGACTAATAAAATTAATAAAACTTTAGTCACTGTAATTAAAGAGGGAAGAAAAATCAAATCAACAAAACAGTATATAAACAAATTGAAATCACAGTAAAACAAATGGAATGAAAATAATTATCATAATATATTATGCACAGTTAAATGCTAATAAACAAGTGAGAACACAAAAGAGAGGAATATCTTTAAAAATATAAAATGCCTAAACTGACAGAAGGCCAAATAAAGATTTTAAATAATACAATCTCAGAAAAAGAAATAAAAGTAATTATAAAGGAAAAAAATTTATGAAGGGAAAAAATTCTGATCCTGATGGATTCACAGAAGAATTCTATCAAACTTTTAAAGACTAATTAAGTAGCAATACTACATAAATTGCTGTCAAAAATTGAGAAAGAAAGCACCCTATCAGACTTCTTTTAATAAATATAGTCTTAATATCTAAACAAGGGGAGGATAAAATATAGAACCATAGACCAATAATGAATGCTAACTTAAAAATTTTTAAATAAAATCCTCTAAAAAAAAACTGCACAGATTTATCCAAAAAATTATTCATTGTATTTCAAGTTGAATTTATCAGGGATAAAAGAATGGTTCAAGATTAGGAAAGCAATCAATGTATTTGATCATACTGAAAACAAAAACATACAAAACCACATGATTACCTCAATAGATGAGGAAAAAGCTTTAGACAAAGTATAACACTCATTGATGCTAAAAATCCTACAAAGCACATAGAGGGACATTTTTTAAAATCAAAAAAGTGTCTATATAAAACTAAAAGCAAGCATCATTTGCGGGAGGGATATTCTAGAACCTTTTCCAACATAGGATTAAAATAGGGATGTCCACTCTCCCCACTATTATTTGATACAGTTCTGAAAATGCTAGCAATAACACAAAGAAAGTGACATTTAAGACAGAGAAAAGATGAAACTATCCCTATTTGCTGATGGTATGATAGTTTACTTAAAAATCCTAGGGAACCAGGAAGGATGAGACAGAAAAGTTGCAGGCTACAAAATAAACCCTCAAAAATCAACAATATTGTTACATAATAACAAAATTCAAGAAACAATAATAGAAAATCCCATTTCAAGTAACTACAAAATGTACAAAGTACCAGGAATCCAACTAGCAAAGTATGCACATGCATACACACACACACACACACACACACACACACACACACACACACACACAACTTGTATAGATTCAATTATAAAGTGCTCTGTACAGAGATGAGGAACAACTTAACAGTTGGCGAAATGTTCACTGCCCATGGCTGGGCCTTGCCAATGTAATTTAAAATGGTAACACTACCAAAGTCAATTTAGAGTTTTAATGCTGTACCAATTAAATTATCAAAGCTATACTTTGCATACTTCAATAAAGCAATAAAACTCATGTGGAAAAATAAAAGATCTAGACTATCTAGGGAAATGACAAAAATAGATAAGGAAGAAAGGACAACAGCATTTCCAGATATCAAATTCTATTAGAAAGAAGCAGTCATCAAAACCATCTGGTATTGGTTAAAAAACAGAGGTAGATTTTTTTTAAAACTTACTTACCTCAGTAGGTAAAACAAACCAGGCAAGGAAGAACCAGAAACAATGAAATTCGATAACCCAGTGTTCAATAAACTGGAAAACATGACTTATTTAGGAAATTTTATATTTAATTTTGATAAAAAAAACTACTGGGAAAATTGAAAAGCAATCTGGCAGAAATTAGCCTTAGACTAATACTTAAGTTATGTTCCACCATAAATTCAAAATGGAATGTTGACCCTAATATTGAAAATCATACCACAAATAAATTAGAAGAGAAACCAATAGTAAAGCTTTCATAAGTATGGGTAAAAGATGCATTCTTAACCAAGTAACAGATAGAGCAATTACAAAAACAAAAAATAGCTAACTTGAATCTACACATGAAATAGATAACATGAATCTAAAAAGGAAGTTTCTGTACAAACAAAATTAATGCATTTGGATAAGCAGTTGAATGGGGAAAAATCTTTATATCAAATTTCTCTAATAAAGGCTTAGTATACAAGATAATCACCAAATATACATATAAATATGTGTGTATGTATGTATATATATATGTATATACATTCATCTATCTATCTAATCTAATCAATCTATATTTGGGGCAGCTAGGTGGTGTAGTGAATAGTGTTCAAGGCCTAGAGTCAGGAACATCTGGGTTCAAAATTGGACTGTGTGACCCTGGGCATGTAACTTAACCTTTGTTTGTCTCAGTTTCCTCATCTGCAAAATGCAAAAATACTTCCCAGGGTTACTGTGAGAATCAAATGAGATAACTGTAAAGTGCTTAGCACAGTGCCTAGCACATAGTAAGGGCTATAAAAACACTATATGCTAATGTTTATTATTATTTATTATTATATAATATAAAATTATATAAAATATTATTATATTTATTATTATCCACATATATACATATATATACACACACACTATTCCTCATAAGATAAATGGTCAATTAAAAGAATTGCTAACCCTAATCACTAATAAGAGAAATTCAAATTAAAAAAAAAACCCCAAAACCTGAGGTTTAATCTCACACCCTGCAAACTGATAAAGATGACAAATAATGGGAATGGAAATCAATGTTGGAGGAAATGTAGAAGATTGGCATACTATTGAACTGTTGGAGGAGCTGAGAATCAACACAATCATTTTGGAAAGTAATTTGGAATTACGCAAATAAATCGACTAAAATGTCCATATCCTCTGACCCACAGATTCCATTATTAGGCTTATACCCAAGGGAAGCCATTGATAAGAAGAAACATTCCCATATAGAGTACACCAAAATATTTATAGTAGCACTTTTTGTGATATCAAAGAACTAGAAACAGAGTAGATGTTCCTCAATTGTGATTCAAGAATGTAATAAAACTGTGAACAAATTGTGATTCAAGAATGTAATAAAACATTATTATATTGTAAGAAATGATGAATTTGATAAATATAGAGAAGCACCAGAAAATCTACATAAAATGACACAGATTGAAGTAACCAGTTTGCCCCTCCCCCCTAATACACAGTCATCAGAATAAGGTAAGGACAAGCAGGCTCAGAAGAAGAGATATGAGAAGACACAGCACGACCTGGGAAGTGGTGGGAGGGACACATGTAGTACATTGCACACATTTTCATACTTTTTTGTTGTGCTGATCAGCTATACTGATTTTTTCCCTTCCTTTTATTTATTTTTTGTCTTTAAAAAGTATTCTGTTACATGGGATTCATTTTACAGTTTCTTCAACCTTGAAGGGTTGTTGTAAGTATCAAATGAGATAACATTTGCAGAGGTGCTTAGCACAGTGCCAAACACATAGTAGGTGCTATACAGATGCTTATTCCCCTCCTCCTCTGAGGAAGAGAGGAATACTGGGGGAAATTATGGTGATGTAAAAAAAAAAAAGACAGCAATAAAAACGTACTCTTTTTTTTTAAAATTATCTCCTAGATAGAGATTTTTGGGGATGGAAGGAGGACAGGAATCTATTTTAAGGACAGGGGACTCCATGATAGAAGGCAGAGAGATGAAAGTGAGGACTATGAGAAGGGGTAATTGGCAGTGGATTAGTTCAGCTGTGACATAAGAGTACATGAAGTAGCATAGTGAGGCAAGGCTAGATGTTGGCTGAAGCCAGACTGTGGAGGGGCTTGAATGCCAGGATCAAGAGATTATACTTAATTTCCCAGGCAATGGAGAGCTATGAAGGGCCCTTGAGAAGATAAATGACCTTATCAGAGCAGTGTATTAGATTATTTAGGAAGCAAAGTAGAGGGTGGATTGGAGGGAGGGATAGAGTGGAGACAAGATGATAATTAAGATGCCCTTACCATTATACTCTCCTGGGAAAGGAAATGGGGCCTAAAGTAAGGTGGATCCTGAACTGGAGTTGAGAGAAGGGGACTGAACTCTGTAACATACTTGACTGGTCAAGTTTAAGTAAGTACTCTTTGAAAATAACCCTAAGAATAAGGAGAATACTATGAAAACAGAAAGGGGAAGAGATTGATAATAGCTCTCTCACAGGCAGAATATTAACATTGCCAAAGCACTTTCCTCACAAGGACCCAGAGAATTAGTCAGTGAGACTATTCCTGGCGAAGAGACCTCAGGGATCCTACAGTCACTCAATCTTGTGGATTTGGAAACTGAAGGGAGGTAATAAAAACAAACTTGAGAAGGGAGGCAGTGCAGGTATTATCCTCCCCACTTTACAGATGAGAAAACTGAAGCCACCTGTCCACGGTAACCCAGTTAGTAAAATGCCCAGCTGACTCTAAGCTCAGCACTCCCACCCTACTCTGCTCTGCATCAAGGCCTCTTCAACGCTAAGACCTGATGCCAATATTGGGGGAAGTCTTCCCAGATTCTCCTCACTGCTAACGTTCTCTTTCTCCCCAAATCATCCTGTATCTCCTTGTTGTTTTTATACTGCACCTCCCTAGTAGAATGCAAGCTTCTTGAGGGCAGGGATTTCAGTCTTTATATTCCCAGCTCCAAACAATGCTTTGCACACAGACACTTGGTAAATCTGTTGACTCAGATACACTATTATTTTTAATGTACTTTTGTATATTTTGTTAAACATTTCCCAATAATATTTAAAAAATTATTATTCACTTGAAAATTTTTTGAGTTCCAAATTCTCTGCCCTCCCGCCTCTTCCCCACCCCTTGGAGAAGGCAAGCAATATCTCAATTATACATATGAAGTCATGCAAAACATATTTCCAAATTAGCCATGATGCAAAAGAAAACACACATACAAAAGAAAAATAAAGAAATTTTAAAAAAGTATGCTTCAGTCTGCACTCAGAGTTCATCGGATAGCTCTCCGGAGGCGGAGAGCATTTTTCATCCTAAGTCCTTTGGAACTGTTTTGGGTCATTGTCTTCATCAGAGTAGCTAAGTCTTGAATCACAGTTGAATCAGATACACCATTGTTGGCCTTTACTACTATAGCCTCGATTGCCTTTCCAAATCTGACAGCAGAGGTAAAAAACTCCTACATTCATCTCCTTGGCAAGGAAATGGCCTTAAAGCCTAGGATTCCAGATGGAGAATAAATATGTTCGTTCCCATCAACTCACCTTGCTGACACCTCAAAACTGCTGGTAAAGACTACATGACATTAGCTAGGATGATGCCCTGAAATCTCTTTACTTTCTTCAATAGATGCGGTTACAGGTAAGTCTTCAAGGACAAATGTTGCCTCTGTTTTTATCTACCAAGTCCTCACAAATTTTCTTTTTAGGAACAGAAGATCTGGGTTTGAATCTCTGCTCTGCATTTTACTGGTTCTATGACCTCAGGAGAATCACTCAAGGTCTTTGAGATGCATTTTCCTCATCCATAAGAGGAGATGACCTTCTGAGTAAGATGGACTAGATGACCTTTGAGGTAAATGTCAGTTCTAAAGCTATGTAGCTATCATCTTCAGAAGCTAAAACAAGGTAAGATTGGAGAGGGCAGACTCAACTTCTAAACCAACAAGTGACAGGATGGGGCAAAAGGGGACACTGGAAAAGAAAATGCACAAGTTTCAGGGCAGCTAGGTGGTGCAATGGATAGAGCACTGGCCCTGGAGTCAGGAGGACCTGCGTTCAAATCCAGCTTCAGACACCTAACTCTTAACTAGCTGTGTGGCCCTGGGCAAGTCACTTAACCCCATTGCCTAGCCAAAAAAAAAAAAATGCACAAGTTTCAGGTTGTGCATAACACACAAAGCAAAATAGCTACTGGGAATACTGTGTATATCCTGCACATATGCAGTCTTCTGCAAACTGCCTTGACTATTAGAAGGTCAGTGACACTGATTTTGCCTTTCACAAGGCTTGCCACATAGCAAGCATTTCATAAAAAAACAAAATAAAACAAAATAGTCCTGGTCTTCATTTATTTATTGGCAGGATCTGTGATTTCATCCCTGCAGGATGCTCCTAGGTGATGAAACTCACAGAAAATTGCCCAGGGCAGAGGCGTGAAATGCATGTGGCCCACAGGCCTGACTGCCTCTCTAACCAGATTAAAATGTAATTGGGAAGTATTTCACAAAATAAATGAAAATAAACAAAAATAAATGAAGATACAATGGAGCATAGATAATGTTAATATGTGGGTTTCTAAATCAATAATGGGGCTTCCCACATATATCCTTACGTACAATTTTGTGATAAGAGCTTACAACTACTGGCTTGGGGCAAAGAGAAATGAGGCAACATGCCCAGGGCCACCCCTCCGGCGTGTGTTCAACTTGAACCCAGGTCCTTCTGACTCCAGAAATTCCTTCTACTAAGCCCAGCTGCTTCTACCCATCATCATCATCATCATCACTATTATTGTCTTTTACAGAGAGCTTAAAGGCGTAAAAGCACTTCACATGGTTTAATCTCATTTGACCTTCACAACAACCGGAAGATGCTTAGGGTTATCTCCATTTTACACAGAAGGAAACTGAGGCAGGGAAAAGCTAAAGTGGCTTGGCCAGGGGCAGGTGCCATTATTAGCCCTATTTTACAGAAGTGTAAAAGGAGGCAGAAGAAAAGTTAAAAGCGGCTTGGGCAGGAGCAGGTACCGTTATTAACTCCATTTTACAGAGAAGGAAACTGAGGCAGACAGAAGTTGAGTGACTTGGCCGGGTGTGTGTGTGGGGTGTGTGTGTGTGTGTGTGTGTCGGGGGGGTTGGGAAAGGAAAGTGGCCAATTATTAACGTCTCATTTTACACAGGGGGAAACTGAGGCCCAGCGGGTAGGGGCACCCGAACGGCACAGGGGTCTGCAGCGGGATTCGAACTCGGGGCTGCGGCCTCCGCTCGGCACCCACGGCCGCCCTCACTTGGGCCGGCGCCGAGGTCCGCGTAGGGCGGGGCAGCCCGGGTCAGTCCCCACCTCACCCCGCCCCCCTCCGGCTCCGCCGCCGCCGTCTCCGCCCTCTCCGGCCCCCCGCCGGGGGGAGCGGCCGCGAGCGCGGGCCCGTCCGCGCGCCCGCCGGGGACCCTCGCGGGCTGCGGCCCCCCGCCCCCACCGACTCACCGGCCCCACTCGCGCGCGCGCGCGCGCCACAGGCCCACGCCCTCGGCCGCCTCTCCGTCCCGCCCCGGCGTCCGCTCCCGGAGACGGGTCCCAGACACCCGCCGGCTGGCTCCCGCAGCGGAAAAACAAAGGTTCCCGGAGCAGAGAGGGGAGGGAAAGATTTCAGAGGTGCGACTACAGGAAGTGACGCACGCGGTGCCCGGGCCGCCTCCCGTCTTCCGGTCCGCTCGTTTATGAATCGCTATCCGCCACCGTTCTGGGGGGATCTCGGCGCTCGGGCTGGGTGAGCAGGTCGGGAGCGGAGCCGGGGCCCGGAGGAGCGGCGGGGGCGGGGAGAGGGGGGCGCGGGCCGGCACGCCCCTCCAGTGAGACTAGTCAAGAAAAGCCGGGGTGCAGGGGCTCCGCCATTGCCGCCGGCTAACCGTCTGGGTCGGGGGAGGGGGCAGAGCATCCGGAGACGGGGAGGGGCCCCCAGCGTTCCCCGCGGCCCCCAGCCGTGACCCCCCTCTCTGCCCCTGGTCACCCTCCGCGGGGGGCCACAGCCCCGGGCCTCCCAGGGGTCTTCTCAGACTTTGGCAGCTTTTCCTTAGTCAACAAGCATTTATTAAGCACTTACTGTTGTCATTAATGCTGGGCCTGCACGTCCCACTAGACTTGCA